GAATTCCGGCAAAGAGTACTATAGTTACCGCGCAACATTTGAAATACTCTGTCGCATTTTTAACTTCCTCTTTCATTTGCGAATCCATGGCGCTGAAAAATAGAAAAGATGGAAATGTCAGAAGTCTTTTCGAGCTTTCGTTCTTTCGTTAACTTCTTGAGCTCCCTTCTTTTCCTATCCCTTATCGCGTCTTCATGTGCACGCTCGACTGAAATTTCCCGTACTCATTCTGCTAATAGATTTACACGACAAACACTAACACACTTTACAAACACACATTAACAATTCGTGTTATGGTGCACTTTGGAATTGTTTCGATACGGACGCTTATTAAAAAATGATGGAATAATAAAAAAGGTGTGGAGAGCGAGTCGCCGCTACTATGCTTGATTGAATAACTTGCAAAGTGCAAGTTTTCCAGTAACGAAAGCAGTAAAAGCACACAGCATGTAACCGGAATAACCTTTATCATTAGATAGTTCTATTTCAATAGTACCTCCTAATTGCAGCCTAGCAATTAACCAGAATATTCAGGTGGAAAGCTACGACGAAAATAACACTATCAGGTGTGTCATTTCCTCATATGAATATAAGTTCGCATAGTACAGTTGCAGCGGTGGAATCTCGCAAAAATTGCAGGATTTTCGGGATTCGCGGGATTGTCAAGAATTGCGGGATTCACGGAATTTTTACGGGATTTACGGGATGTATGTATCTGAAGATCTGTATCTGTATCTATCTCTAAAGATCAGATTAGGACAAAATTAGGCATCAGCGACCGACATCCACAGAATCACAGAAGATAAAATGAAAACGAAATTTGTATTAATTTTGAGGAAAGGATGCCCAAATGAAGTACTCATGTAAAATGGTATGGATCAAGAGAAAAATTAGAAATTGGAATTGCATTTGTAACATCCCCAAAATACTGATATGCACCTACAAATAGTAGAGTTCCGCTTAACAGTAATTGAAAATTGCAAGAAAAAATCCTGGAAAATCAACTCTTGATCTAATTGAACCGATTTTTTTTCTAGTTGAAACTTGAAGGTAACACGAACTGATGAGGGTGTAAGTAGGGATTTGGAGATATGCGAATTATTGCGATACAATTCGTCTCATCATCTATCCGTGGTAAGATTTTGCAAAAAACTTAAAGCTTAGTCTTCAATTTTTTACAATTTGGTATTTCGACGATATTGTGCAAATATACGTAAGATATCCCGCTGCTTTTTACCTTCAAAACACCTACTAGCTCGCCCAAGTGGCAGTTCTGCTAATTTTTTCTCTGCCTCCGGGACCAGTTGGAAATTTTGATCGCAATAATTTTTTGAAGATAGCCGTCTACATTAACATAGAACTAGCAAGAGCGAGGTATGGTAGCATTATTGTTATTCTTGTTGGCCATAAATTCAGCATGAGAGTTTAAACTTAAATATTGTATAACGACATCCGCTCAAGCATACTATGTCATGCCCCAGAATCCACTTCTTACAAATTCCTTTGACTCTGGGTTTAGGTGATCTCAACAACAATGGTTGCAACTCGTGGTTACATCTATGTACAGTGGACATTCCTTTATGTGGATCATCGGACCTTTTGCAGATAGCACAGAAAAAAGTGCAAATGCAAATTAAATCAAAGCGTACGTCAACTTCAGGAGTGCTTATGACTGTGGTGTAGGCTTGTTCGCTGGCTTGTGAAAATTCAATTATAAAAAAGGCAATTCTTGGAGTTATCTATGGGTGAAATTACAAGTAACACGGATCGTGTGAAATGATGCAATCTCTCACCTCAAAAGATCTTTGCGAAATATTATTTGTTGAAATTATTCGAGAAATCTTGGAGAAAGGCTACATCATATATCGTCGCTTGTTCTACCCCTTCCTGCCTCCCCTACCTCATAGAAATGCCTTTGTTGCGAGTGCAATTCGAGATTAACACTATTGTTACCACACTCCTTCCTACTAATTCAACGATTTTTTATTGCTTAAGTAGGAGTAAGAGGCAAAACAAAATTATCTCTAGAAAAATTTTTTTGGTGAGCTCAATCTGGAAACTAAAAAGAGAAAGATTTATAATTAAGTGGTCATTACTTTCGAAAAGTCATAGACACATCCAAGAAACGCTACGGATCTGTTTTCCTGATTTTCTTAGCACCTCAGTGAAAAGAATTACGAGTTTTGAGTCTGATCTGAAGTTACGAACATGCGTCTGTATAAGATCAATGACTAAAATTTTTCTCTATGCTCCATAAGGTGCAAGAATTTTGCAACAAATACATTTAAGGACCCATTTCTGAAGTCATTCCAAACTATGATAGATTTACCATAACAAACCTTGTTTGGCACAGAAGTGAAGATTTGATGTTGATCATTCTACCCAGATTTCTTCCAAAATCTGGTCACGATTTCCTCTGATAGGACGTTCAGCAAATGGGGCTGCATGAAAAGACTGTTTTGAGCGGTCACTTCGACCAGGATACTTTCCTTTTAAGAAGATTTTTCCAGCTTGGGATTGCAAAAAATCTGATTTTCTTGAGCCAACTACATTTACTATGCTCTCTCCAATTTCTATAGGTTCAGTGTCAAGTAAGGTGATAAGACAATAGTAATGCGTTGATTGTACAGTGGTTACACCGTTTCGAATAATGTTCACACAATTTCCAGATGGCAGTCCCGCAATTACATCGAAAGTGTTTCCGGCTTGTCCTTTCGCCATTTGCAGCATGTGCGTATGCGTGAAGAGAAACGCTGGTTATTTAATAGTCTTCGACTTGTCTAAGTGGCTTTGGATAGCTGCGAAAACACATCACGTTCCTCGAAAACATCTTGAGGTGCTGTACCTTGGAGCTTGTTGGCCAATGTTCGAACCCGTAAAGTGCTTTGCCTATAAATGATCTGTTTGAAGAGAGACTATCGTCTTTGCCTAGACTCTGGTCTGCTCATGAGGTGCATGACAGCTGTAAGGTGGTGCGCATCTAATTTGAAAAAATGTTTTTGAACTGGAGACATATTATGTACTATGCATTCCATTTTTACTACACTTAGCGCTCTTTTATCCTGGCTATGAAACAAGGATGCACAAAACGAGGAGGACTCAAAGATTTTGTCACTCGGAGGTATTATCACAATGAAAAATGCTGCTAATTTTTTGTGTGACTTCGTCCACGAATGATGAAGTTTGCTGGCTGCAATGAATACATCTGCCATCTCTCATAAGCTTACAACAAAAACCAAGTAGAAAAACTTCATAGGTTGATGGTTCATTCATTGATTGAAAACTGGAAATGGTTACACTGCAGCCTTGTCGAAACGGGTAAGAAAGGGGACTCAAGAACACTTCCGATAAAAATTCTTTGACTAAATTGATCACAGCTATTTGAAATTGATTTCGTTTGAGCAATCGCGTTTACCAGAAATGATCAACACATTTCTTAAAATTTTTTGGAGATGCGTCATTACCTATTTCAAAGACTCAATTCTCTGTGCATTTGTAAAGACACACATTTCGCTAACCCACAGCTTTGATCAAAATAAAGCGCTGTAACCTGATAAACAGTGAACTAATCTGGGTAAGCTTGGTAGTTATGGTTAGCATGCCAACTTGCCAACGTTGCGTTCTTTTGTTCTTCCCCAGATGTGATGTGAAAACTGTTTATTCCCAAATAAGTTAAGAATGGATTGAATAAAGGATAAAGTGAGTCTTGCTTGATGTAATAAGTTGGTAAACCTCATTTTTCCTGAATAAAACTGAAATTTGGAGTAGAAACTTTTCTTAACATTATCAAATAAGTCTGCGATTTTGATGCATAGTGCAGGACCACGATGACTTACAGATGTTGGTGATGAATGTGAATGTCGGGGCAAAAACTACATTGGATGTCCAGAAGTAATATTTTTTGTTGGACAAGTCAGAGTTTATGTTCTTCTCAATATTGTTCGCTTTTGTTTTTCTTTTTTTATTATACGATGCTGGTTTTGTTCTTGCTGTGCTCGTTTTTCCGTTCCTTAACTTCCTATTTGCAGCGCGTTTACAGCGCCAAATGAATAAAAAAAAAATAATGCCAATGTCATACACCGCCCGGGTGGACAGGCTTCCGAAGAAAAGCTCTACTCCGCTTACTCACTCAAGTCAGTAAAGTGAAAAAATCGTTCATATATATGGTACAAATCAAAACAATCAGTGTAATCGAATAAATCGACAGCGAGTGCATGAGGAGGAGAAGAGCTCTAGGCAGGAAGGGACGGATGTAAAAATCATCACCAAATATACATACATATACAGCGCGAATCAGCTTTTACACACGCGAACAAACACACTCGGATCTATAAGATGCTAGATGATATGCAGTATTACAGGGAGCTAAATCTTGGAGGGAAAAGTCGGAATTATGTAAAGGGAGTTTCGAAATGAGCAGTGGAGATGCTCAGTCGAGGTACGCCAGTCAAAAGTAGTTGTTTTTGCAAGTGATGGTAGAGAGAGGTAACTACCGTAATGGGGTGAGGTACGGTATGATCGTAGTGTAACCGGGGGCTAGGTATACGAAGAGGGCATCACAGACAATCACGTACATCGGAGGGCGCGCATCACAAGTGACAGAATGTTTTGGTCAGGTAGGTCGACAAAAGAAAATCAAGAAAAAAGAAAAGGCTACAGTATACAGTATGCTACAGTATACAGCCTAGAGCTGGGGCTGCGGTAAGAGTGATTACAGCAGTATTGCGGTCTATACCTTGTTCACGTAGACAGTAATTCGGCACATATAAATTGATCAACAAAGTACAAAAAAGTTTCCAATAGTAATAGATGAATGGCTTGATATGAGAGTGCTTTTGGCAATTTGCCACTACCGGATACGGTAGCCAGAAACCGCCGAAAACTTTACAGACAGGACAGCATTAGGAGCCGCTTCAGCAGCAGGCCTTGCTTTTGGCACCTTTCAAGCTCATCTGCCGGGATTACATCCAAAAGTCCACTAATTATTTGTACATATGTGATTAGACGTTACATACATCGATTATGGAATTAATTTGAGTGTCCATGGACTCAGAAGAGGAGATTTCTGTTGGGTTCTGCTCGAGCAGCTTATAATTGGCCAATAAGGACAGCAACGACTCGTTGGTGACCAATGGGAACGGGAAAGCCGTCGATGTGACGGGGTTGATTGCCACGGGGGCGGCGATCAACGAAGCCGCGACTGCTGCGTTTGTCGCGAAACTAGCGGAATCCGGCGGCGAACTGGTGGCTGGCGATTGTGGTGGGAAGAGCAGAGATCCGCGCAGAAGGTCTGGCGACGACCCAAATGGATTCAGTCCTGATGGCGAGTAGGAGGAACCATCTGAAGATGTCGGGGATGTCAGCAGTGATTGCGGTACTTGTTGCTTTAGTTGGCTATCTGCAAAAGAGAAAATGAGGGAAGTGCCTGACGAGACAAACTTATTTCTGTAGTTTATGTACATAAAAAGGCGTGTTTACTCGCAGACGAGTTGGAATATATTTGTGAAAAAAGGCTTGAGTGGAACAATGTTAATTTTGCTTTCTCATCAATTTTATCGCCCTGTAAGGTAAACAAGTGTTAGGCCTCGGGCAGAGTTCACGCAATTTGCGTTGCGATTCATCGCTACAAAACAATTGTACAGGTTCATTGCATGTCGATCCTCTTGTATTTCGGTTGTGATAGTTAGTAACGATTGTCGTGTTGGAAAACTACCACAACCGAAACGCAAGAAGATCAGCATAAAATGATATTGTTACAGTTGTCTTGTCGCGATCAATGGCGACGGTGAAATCGCGTGAACTTGGCCCGAGGCCTTAGCTCCAAAAGAGACAAAGTTGGCCCAATAAAAACATTACTAGTGCCTTTCAAAGAAAATGCTATGCACTAATCTTACTCATAATCGTAAACTTTCAAACCATGAAGGGTAATTGTCAGAGACATCTAAAAACAGGTACTATTTGAGCTTTCTCCTCATGCATTGCTCCCTAATACAAGTAATGGTGGAATGTCTTATTTTAGATTAAATCTCTTATTGCAGATAATCAAACAACTGCCATTGACCAGGGTACCTTTTCAAGAATTTATCACCTAAAGCCTTTGTCATTCTTGGTTTTTCAAGCAACTCTCTGAAAAACTAATCTAATCTGTTCCTATTCAAATCTGAAAACCACTGCTAGAATGACAGCTTCCTACTTTCAACTACTACGCCTGTCACAGGTAATATGAAGCGTTATCGCACTTCTACCGGAATACTTCTCGAGGAAGATTTTGGAGGAGTTGTTTGTTCGCCTAGTTGCCGTGATAGGGTTACCAATTTTTCTGTATGCAATATCGCGTGAGTGACATTTTGCAGCCACTTTCACTAGTTTATCTCTGCTACTCCCCAGATGGATATTTGTCCAAACTAAACATGGCCCGTGGAATGACAGCTAGAGAAACGAGCGAAAACATCGACGAAAACACGAGCGGATCGTATGTCAATGGCACATTGCGGACATTTACGCTTGGAGACAAGTGTACAAATGAGGGAATAAAAATGATGTAGCTTACATCTGCAGGAAGGAAGGGAATCACCTGCTTGAGAAAACCAAAAAAAACAAAGTTTGCAAAATTCTCGCAGACTGTCACAAATCACAAAAAATCTAACAATTGTTAGATACCCCCAGTTTTTTTCAACATTCAATTTCAGCTTCCACTTGCTCCTTATCCATCCACCATGAATAATAATTGTATGAAACTCCGCTTCAGCGCCCCGAACCGAATAATAAATGCAGCTTCCGACAAAGTGCTTTTGCGTGGCGTTTCAAGTTTCGCTCTCAGTCAAATTTGTTTTGCTCACAAAGTCTGCGTGCCCGGCAAGTACGCATGGACTTCTGCACCTCGAGCGTTGCTTGCGGCTTCTGGCGCAGAAACTACTTATGCGGAATTGCTTAGCACTTAGGGTTTTGTTACGTGACAATGTAGGATTGTCCAACAATCCAATAACTAGCACTCAGCGTGGTAGAGGTTCCCTTATTTTGTGGTGTAGGGTAAATTTTAGAGGTTCGTTTTTGCTGCAAAAATTTTTTTCGAAGTTCTTGGCAGAGCAGGATCCTTGCCGTGACAGAAGCGTTAAGTGCACGATTGAGAGAAAAGGCCAGTGAAGTGCGAGTTGCTGCCGGACTGAGGTTGTTTTGGAGGAAGAGCGCTTAGCAGAGTTCTTGGATGCTTTTGTGCACTTAAAGAGCCAGTTCGATCTTCGATGCTATCATGTAAAATCGAAAATTGCGCCTTTTGCTTATGATTGTGACAACAGACAAAAAAATTTGAATATAGCAATAGCAGGATATTACCTGACCGAAGAACAAAACTTAATAAGGACAGTGTCCAGGGAAAGTTGGGCGCTTGGGTTCTTAAGACCTAATAGTGAGCTGCTACATAGACAGTGACTTAACTAAGTCACTGTCTATGTAGCAGCTCACTTGATTGATTATTGGTCGAAAACGCAACGCTAGGTCTCGCCCATACCGTACTCCCTACCGAACAACTGTGTTCGTGGAAATGCGCTGCAGAGAGGAATGAATCATTAGGCTAATGATATCGGGCAAAGTTCAGTTAAGAGCACAGATATAGGGTAGGAAGTACAGTGGTTTCCACATGTCAAACTAAGTCATCTAGATTTGCCTGGGCCTTGCCAATAAAGAGCGTTTTAAATATTGTAGCCATTCCCTCCTACATTTTGACAAAGCAAAAAACAAAACCTTTTTGGAACAAAACGCACCGCAATTTTAGTTCTTATAATTTCATCCTCTTTCGACCATCAGTGATAGATTGATTTAGAGACAAACTCACATAACAGACTGCCAAGACCTCCTAGTCCAAAGTTCATTTGTCCCGATAGAGCGGCTGCAGCGTTTATGGTTGACGTCAACTGATCGCGTTGTAAATTCATAATGCTGTCTTTTCGTTGACGTCGACGGATTTTGATTTGATCGGCCATCAGTTTCTGTCGTTCGCTGACCACTTGACACTGGAAATGATAGGGGTGAGCAAGAAAGAGGTAGAACGGCAACTGATTGTTATCAGGAGCTATAGAAAGAGGGCCGGGACGTAGAAGAATGAGCAGTACTCCGGCTACCATAGGGGACCGGGTCACGAGACTTCGTAAAAAATTTAGAACATGTTGTGATTAATTGCAAACACTTCGATCTTTAAAGAAAAAAAAACGTAGACTGAAAGAGTGAAAAATCTGAACAATCTATCAGCCAACTCACTTGAAGTGATTCTATACATTAAACTAACATTTCAAGACAACGCAGAGAAGCCACGGCCCTCAAGTTCTCAAAAATCATCTAAAATCACAACCACCGTGAGTGTATCTGAACAGATTTTACTCGCTTAGCATAAAGAAGTAAATTTTTATACTGGACTAACTTCATTTTCATTTTCCCACAAACTCCTCAATAGCTGCTCTGATTCTACAGCTGACGTGAAAATGTGTAAGCACGGATAATTTCTGATTGTGAAAATAAAAGCTGTAGACCATCAAACTATTTATCGGCTCAAGAAACTTCCCCTTTCCCCATTTCTTTAGCTCTGGCTTTGTTAGAAACTCTCTCATACAATTTGTTGTGCTACTTAAGGAACACTTTGTAAGTCTCGACAATGGCTGAATCCATAAACAAAAAGTATACGTGCACCCGAGAACTTGCGCTGGAGACATGCTCCTCGTACTAGGACACACGGTTTATCCGGAAAGTGTCTCCTTGACCAATGGCGAAAATTTGTTTATTTTTCAAAAGTTTAGGGGAATTATATTTGGAAGGTTTATTTTGAAAGAGGATCCTTTATATTTTCTGCCTTATCAAAACAGTGTGCGACTTGGAAATGGATGAAAAATCATATTTCAAAAAGCTCCTCTTTACTTAGCGTGGGGTCTGGCTAGGCTTACATAGTTCTAAAAAGAGGCATCACATGCTACTTCTTTTAAAATTTCTATTTTTGATATTGGTTGTGCACTAAGAGAAACCTGCTGCCAATAAACGTTTTTGCGTGATGCTGTAAGTTAACTGCTCAAAACAAAGTCCGCCATCCCTGGAAAAAGCACTACAATAGTGGGAGACAAAAGCAAGAGCTTGAGATATATGAAAATTTGAAAAACACTTGCAAGTTACGGGACTGTAAGATTCCATTCCTCCAAAAATTTATTTATGCAAGTGATGCATGAGAATGTTCATTATCATGGGATTGTTTACGGTTATCTCTCATTGGCGGGCTTGACATCATTTGTCATCGGGAAACAGATCATAAGAAGCACTGCATATTATGCTAAGTTATTGAAGAACAAGGTAATCCCGTTTTCTGTTCTGTCGTAACCGTTATTACGACCATGAGATAAGTTCCAAGCATAAGTGCAAAGAGTTATAAGGAAATAGATAGGTTTGACAGCTCCAATAGTTTGGTGCAAAAAAAGTTTGTTAGGAAAACCCATCAGACAGAAGTTGAAGCGTTCTTTTTCTGATTAGTGTAGAAATTACTTACGTTCTGAGATAAAGTTTGTAAAGCCCAGAATTGCTTTAGTTTAACAGGATTTTAGTTTGTTTTTGCTTAAGAGTTTTGGAGCGTGGGAAAAAGGGAGGGGCTATGATACTAGCACCTAGTTTTCCTGGAAGTAATGGCCACCAGAGTTTCTGTTTTGTATCCTTTCCATTTACTTCGCTTCAAAAACCAACTGCATTGATCAAATGGTAGAGCGGCTGCTCATGCGATATATCTATGGTTGCGAAACTTGAGTGCACTCTCGCCCGGTACCGTACCTGCCGACCAATCGCGTCTCCAGTATAATACTGGGCGGTAGTTTGGAGTTATATCTAAGCTGAGTGATGGTTTACCTGAGGTTTCTCAAACAGGGTTCGACAAGGAGCACATATTTCAAGCACAAATGGTGACTTTAATATTTATTTAACACCCTGCGTTCATCGAATTTGCTCTCGACAGCTCGACGAGCTGCGAGCTGCGAGCTGCTGCAACGTCTACGCACTTATATTCGCGTACTGAATTACTATTATGTCTTGTTGCACTTCCAGAAACGGAAACTAATTGCAAAAGCCCCGCCCTGCCTCTCCTCCGAGCACGAACAGTGCACTTTGGATATGCATAAACGGGCTCGAGCGTTGCTGAACATGAACACGAGAGCCTGTGAAGGAAGGAGAATAGGCTCGAAAGGGCACACATTTCTAATCGAAACATACGAGATAAAATGTCGCCAATCAGTAACGACATTTAAGGCCGGCTTCGAGCAATTTTGCAGATGTTTCTAACATGTAGTCCGTAAAATAATGTCGCATTATGTGCCAGTGTTATTTCACGGTAGAAACATCAAAAAATTGAGTGAAGGAACATTTCATAGAGCAAATCAAGCTCTTCAAAATAGATTACAAACATTCGCTCCAAGTTTGATTTACGCGCAGATTACTTCAGGACTACTTGTACTGTTTTTGCAGCTCTCTGTTACGAAGGTGACTAGGCGTAAGAGCGAATATCTAAATAATCCTACAAGATTTATCCGCTTATGAGCTACTTTGTATGCTACGCATAGAGTTCAGTACATGTTTGCTACGATCTCTGCATCAGTTCATCAGTTCACAAAGAGTAGAAAAGTGCTTTAAACACTTCATAGGTACGAAATCTCCTTCATGTCTAAATAGATGCTTATCTAATTTCATATCGTTGATCTACGTTGGTCTTACTCTTCAGAAAGCAAATCTGGAAAGTCTTAACTGCATTGTTAGAATCTCAAAAAAGGCTAAGTATGAGTAGTCTCGGAAATTTCCAATGCCCTAAAGTTAGGTACCCTGCTTGATTTTTGACAAGTCCTCCTCAGCATAGCTCGCTGTTTTTTGAGTGTTTGTTGACTTCTGATTGGTCCCAATAAATTCATCAAAATCTCTCAAGAATTAGTAGGAGTTTCTGAGCGCTTTCTACACAACAGCAAGAGGCATTCTATGAACCAAAGAGACACTGAAAATTGCCACATGCTCAGCCACAATAAAAGCTCGTAAATTTCGTAATTCAACGTGAAAAACTGTGAAGAGCTCTTTGAACATATCTTCAGAATTCCAAAATTTTCTGAAATGGCGGCAGATTTAATAGCGTAGATGTTAAAAATACGGTAATCCCACAGTAATGAAAACGACTGGCGATTCGCTTTAAATAGATCTAATTTGAGCTTATAAATTACCAGCTCCACGAAATGATAAGCAGGTTCGCAAACCTTGATAGAGCGAACGATTAAATATTGCATACTTTCTTTTGGACGCCCTGCCGAGTGATAGTCGTTGAAAAAAATTCTTAACTCCTCTTTCGTAAGCGGTAAGGATCATTAACAGTATTTGCAATAACAGGGAAATGCGGCACTGGCAAATAGTGCAAAATCTTCGTCGACTTTTACAGTCATCAAATTCAAACCGCTATCGAGAATTGCGAGTATATTTCGTAGTTTTTTTTTATAGATTGCCTCTCTGTTGCCTCGCACCTACCGACTTCTTATTGTTAGCTGCTTTTCATAATTGTGCTTTCATAGATCATGAATGATTTGGCTACAAAATCGAGAATGAAAGGTGGTTTCACTATGTTGATCATCTTTAAAACTGAGATGAGTCACCTTATAATGAGCATAAGCTGGTTTTCCGTGCGATAAGCTGGGCTTCAATCATGCATTGCCCTCTCCCTGGATAGGATAAAAGACGAATTGTTGTGCAGAAATTGTTGGGTTAGTCGTGAGAGAGGTGTCTTGTAAACCGCTACATGTGCTTGCCGGGTCGCGATACGTTTTCCGATGCGAACTTTTGCGAGTCGAAAATCAGTCAGCTAACTATCTGTTGAAATTGTGCGTCGACTAAAGACCATGTTCAGATGTAAATGCATCAAGTTAAACTGGAAAAAGATTACTGGCTTTCTGGAGTGCCTCTGTTTTTTTCTTTCGCTCTTTTATCCTCATAAAATCAGATTGAAAATTCTCGCACTCTCTTTAAATTCTTGAAGCCTGCAATGAGTGTTGAGAGGAAAACTTTGAATAAAGCATGTCCTAAAACGGTTCAAATATCCTCTCAGTGCTTTCATGTAAACATTCTACCACTTCCCTTTTAGCCATGGCTCTCTAGACGGAATAACAAAACATTTTCAACATTCGACACACTATTGTTCTTGAGTCGTTTGTTTCCCAAAACAGCTAGAAAGCAGAATGAGGTGAGGAGTGTAAGCAGTGTTGGTTCTAAACTACTCTGCTATTTTGGAAAGATCAATTATACAGGGTTTCCAAAAAAGTATGGAATATTTTCGACCATAGCTCTTTCCCTCTCTCTCTGAAAAGTTTCCTTGGGTCTTTGGAAAATGTGGACTGGCTTCAGCTCAAACCTGCAGCACTGAAAACCTGCAGCACTGAACGAATCACGCCTGTCGTACTGTAGGATTACGGTAAGAACTTCCAGCAAAATGGCGTCATAGCAAATCAGCTCTATTTCACAAAAACCCAAACCGCCCAGTTTTTGTGCTGGGACCACTGTTTTTAGGAAATAACTTTGCAGAGCGGTTCAGATGTCACAGTCAAATTTCCGATGAATTCGGGAAACCCTCGCCATGGTAACCTGTTTTCTTTTGAGCTAAAGCTCATATGTGAGATCAGTAATACTAATTAACCTATATCAAAGTTTCCGGTTTTGCTGAACAATTATGATTTCTCGGGGCAATACATGCTTTCATTGGCGCAAAACTTTTGCAGAAGTTCTACCGTATCCTGCAGTTATGAAGAAGAACGATGATCCGCTTTCTATTGCAAATCTAATAGAATCAGTACTTCGATATGCCTAACGATCCACGTAAGCTGTTGAGACAATTGAGCTATTAGCGATCAGGCGTTTGACACAATATTTTGGGAACCCGTAGAGAATGGGTTTAAAGAAGAAAAGCTTGGGAAACCGCTTGATAGCTCCAATAAAATATCACTTATGTCTGGTGAAGAAAATCAAAACCATATTCATTTTTATTGGTTACATGTTGAAGCACCACTTTACGGGCATCCGGGGTGAGGGGGAAAAGGTCTGGAGAGTAGATACTTGATTTTTTGGATAACGCAACAGAAGG